TATGTGGTATGAGTTTGGCTTCTGGCACTTTAACTATTAACCTATCTTTTGTTTTCTTGTTGTTCATCTTTGTGGCTTCCATTTTCTTTTTGCTTATCACACCAGTTTGAGTTTTGTGTGTTGGAAGGATGTATATACTCCCCCATAGACTTTTATATAATAGTATTAATATCTCCCAGAAACATTGACATTGTACATTTGCTGAACTGAACAATAATTGAATTAGATACAGTTGTAAAGGCTAACCTGAGAATTCATTGCATAAGCAATGCAAAATAGACTAATCTGCACACTTTTTAATAATGTGCAGAAAAAAAAAAAAACTAATCTGGCTGTGCTGCTTTACTTCAATGGACGATGGGATCCTAGCAACAAATATACTAATTACGTGGCAGATGGTGTGTTGATAAATACGGAATCAAACTTTGCCACCCTCATTTCTATAATTGCTACTCAATTGTCAATAGACACATCAACAAGTAAAGTTGAAATCAGATATAAAATTGATGAAAGGTCTCCTCCAATTCAAATTCATAATGATATGGGGGTAAAAGTATATGTTGAAACCAAAAAGGAACATCGAGATATGGCAAGATACCCTTTGTGTGTCACAACAACTGAACCAGTCAACTTGGAGACTAATTCTACACTCATTCCACTATTATGTTCAGACACTTCAGAAGATATGAGGGTTATACACAATTCATACTTCTCTAATACATTTAATGGTATTGGTGAAGCAATAGGGTTAATTGGCTTTGGATCATGTGAGGAAGTTGATGAGCTAGAAGAATTAGCACCAGGCATCATTGTTAATCCCAATCACTCTTTATTTGAGAAAGATCAAGTGTATAAGAATAAATATGTCCTCACCAGTGCACTAAAAAGACATTCCATTCTTAAGCATTTTCAATTCAAGACAACAAGATCAAGCTCAATCAGGTAAGACCTAAATTCAAGTCACTTTAAATTATTGATTGTATATTAATTTTTTTTCAACAGCTATTCGATACAGTGCTTAGGTGAAAACTGTAGTTGGAGTTTACGAGCTTCAAGCTTGAACAAATCTCAAATGTTCAAGATTAGAGAATTTGAAAGTGAACACACATGTTTGTTGCTACATAATTCATTATCGGAAAGGCAAGCAACTAAGAGTGTTGTTGGGAGTATTATTGTCGGTAAATGTGCTGAACCAGATGTTATTTACACACCAAAAGATATACAACGTGACATGTTAGCTGAATATGGTGTGCGACTCACATATATGCAAGCATGGCGAGCTAAAGAAGCAGCTCTTGAATCAGTCCTGGGTGATCCAATTCAATCATATGCAAAGTTGCTAAGCTACTTTCACATACTAGAGGCAACTTACCCTGGTTCCCATATATGATTGCACAAATAAGAGGATGACCGTTTTCTATATGCGTTTGTAGCTTTGTTCACCTCGATAAAAGGATGGGAATATTGTAGACCAATTGTAGTTGTTGATGAAACTTTCTTAAAAGGAGCATACAAAGGGACACTACTAACCGCTAATACCTTAGATGCAACAGGTGAGACTTTCGAATATGATACTAGTATTTTCTATATTGAATTTCTGAACTATGAATTAAAAATGAATTATAATTGCAGTAAAAATGTATTAAAATTGTATTAAACAAATTGTACATGGTGCAGGGAGTATACTGCCACTTGCTTATGCCATTGTTGATTCAGAGAATGATGCATCTTGAAGGTGGTTTTTTGAGCAATTCAGAGACGCATTCGGTCAAAAATTAGAGATGTGTATTATTTCCGATAGGCATGCAAGCATTATTAAGGCAGCTTCGAGAGTCTATGATGAAGTACCTCATTTTGCGTGTATGTGGCACTTACTGCAAAACATAATGAAAAACTTCAGAAAAAGTCAGCAAAGGGTAACTGAGTTGTTCTACTCTATGGCAAAAACATACACCATGACAGAATTTAATCAATGTATGACAATAGTTGAGAAAATAGATAAGAGGATCAAAGATTACTTGCTGAACATTGGATACAACAAATGGTCGCGTGTGCATGCTGAAGTAAACAGAACTTGGATGATGACGTCAAATATAGCAGAATCAGTCAATTCAAGAACAAGACATGCCAAAGTTCTTACAGTCTTACACCTCTTGGAATTCATGAGACAGCTTGTCCAGAAATGGAATAACAATAACAGATCAAAGGCGACATTTTCAGGTTTTCACCTTGGGAAAAAGTATGAAAATATATTGCGGCGCAATAAAACTGCATCAGAGAAATTAAGGGTATGCTTGATCTGTAAATTATTTTTGCTAATATTTTTTCTTCAGATTCATATCTAACATCTCTCTTGATTATATTTTTTTCTTTTCATAGGTTATAGAGACAAATAAATATGTGTATACGGTACTTGATGGTATTACACAATTCACAGTTTGTCTTCACCAACGTACATGCACATGTGGGAGATTTCAATTGGATGAGTTGCCATGTCCACATGCTTTGGCTGTTTTAACAATAAAGCACACTGGTTATGAGAAATATTGCTCTGATTACTATACAAAAAAAAAATTATTGCTGACATATCAGTTTCAAATGGATCCCCTGCCAGATGAAAGCACATGGAACACACCAACACATGTTCTTGAAGAGGTTGTACTTCCACCTCATGGAAAGAGACCTCCGGGAAGACCAAAAAATAAAAGACATACACAACTGAGAGAAGATGGATTCAAGAAGGCGAAAATTACATGCAGCAACTGTGGACAACAAGATCACAACAGGAAGACTTGCAAAAATGTTAGGCCTTATGATCAAGAATAAAAATAAGAAATAAAATTTGTTTTACCATTTTGTTTTAGAAGCTCATTGGTTTACTATATGAATTTGGATCATGTTTGTTTATATGGTTGATTCCCTTAGTTCCGCAATCTCGTGTTATTCAGTTTAGTGGAATGCTTTCTTAGTTGTGCAATCTCGTGTTATTCAGTTTAGTCGAATATTTCCATGTTTATAGTTAGATGTGATATGATATAGTTGAAATGATATTCGATAAAATGCAACTTAGTAATTGTTTAAAATTCCCATTGAATGTTTAGTTGGAACTGCATCTCTTATTTTAACTATTGATTACCTCAATGCTTAGTTTCCTTATTGCTGTTGAATCTCTGTTGAAACACCCAAATACGAATTGGTACAATCTACACCTAATTATGAGATCCGCAAATATCCAAATACGAAAAAATGAAACATCTTTCGAGCAAGCAAGTACCATTGCATGCCAACACATATTTGTTCAATAAAAGCTAAGCAATCAGAAAGTGAAGAATAAACCAATATAGTTTTACATAGCCATACTAACTACAAACTGTTTTTACACCATATAGTTTTCACAGTCATACTAACTAATATAACTATATTTCTTTATCTTTCCGGTCTTTCGTCTTCACTTTGAAGGTCACTCGCTTGCTTCCTTCTTGCATATTCCCATAATATAGCTCCAAATCTCTTTCGGAGAATGTCTGCCTTTACTTGTTGATTTAGAATATGTTGGCCATTACTTACAAACTCCGCAAATGCAGCAACGAAAACTCCATAGTCCCTAAAAAATTCAATATAAAATTATTATCAAAATATCTACTTAATACAAAAAAGAATACCTATTTGATAATACTTACAGCGAGTCATCTTGTTGTCTGGGAACACCTTTAGTTATGAAATGAAGCTCAATTTTCTCGAACTCATCTATCCCACTGTATTTCGGTGTTGCCTTCAATTCAGGACGCTTATCATAGAACTTGACCACACTCAGGTAATATGGTAAAACAATTGAAAGCATCTCAACAATATTTTTAACCTCAAAATTCACCCCACTCCTTGCCGAAAATGAATCATATACCTCCAAAAACCTTTGCACAATATCAAACACGACAAGAATCCAATGACAACCCTCTTTAATGTTTAGTGGAAAAAGAATATAATCCACTTTATCCCACGAAGTGCTTGCCAACAAACGACATCCATATATATACCGGGCAATATCATCAGAATCTTTTACTTTATAGTTCTT